CAACCCTCTGCCAACAGCTGCAATCCACTCAATTTAGGTTCCTTCCTCTTCTTCCCAAAATCTGCCTACCCTTCTCTTGCACCCTTTGGATTGGATCATGACCTCTCTATTGCCAACTTATTTATTCTAATTGCTGTTACTGAAACCTGGCTTCATGAATCCGACACTTCTTCTCCTGCTTCCTTCTCCTACGATGGCCTTCTCTGGACTCACGCCTCCAGATCCAATGGACGTAAGGGAGGTAAAGTGGGAATCCTAGCACCAGGTACCCACTTTTCAGGTACTTCACCCACCTCCTTCTATGTCACTCTCTATCACGTACCTGGTGATGGAGGCCAATGGAGAGATGGCTTCCCTTGCGGCTAAGTTCCGGACTTCCCTGAGAGTGGGACAGCGGGAGTCTGGCCCAAAGTTGCACAGGTCCCCTGTAGGAGTGCTGGTTGGTGGTCCACTCAGAAGCACAGCTGGTGTACGCAGATAGGTCTGCAGACAGGAGGCGCCTGTGCGTGTTATGCAAGCCCTTCCTGGATTTAGATGTTTACTGGGTAGTCGGTTCAAGCCAAGGTCAGGTACCAGGTGGGAATCAAAGCAGACGTGGTCAGATGGGATAGCCGAGGTCATACACAGAGGAGAGAGAGAGAGTATCCGTAAACCAAGCCGAGGTCAGATCAGGGGTAAAGCAGAGTAGACAGGTCCAGGAGCAAGCCGAGTCAGTAACAGGAAATCACAGGTCAAAGTCACAGGAAACAAGGAGTTTCTCAAAGGAACCTTCGCCAACTCAACCCTTCTCCTTTTTGCTACTGGCCACCTCTATGACAAAATCTCATCACTGCCCTGCCCCAACCTAACCGCATCCGTCTACAATAGATCTCTGTCCTCCACTATGGACGCGCTCACCCCCCCCCCCCCCCCCCGCTACACTCAGAATCAGGCCCTGACCACTACAACCTCAGCAAACAGATGACACCAGAAGACTACAACAACCTAGCAGCACTCTTGAACGTCTGTGGTGGAAGACTAAGTCTTAGAAAGACTTCAACCAATACAAATCTGCCCTCCGAAAACACAATTCCTGCCTCCACAATGCCAAGCAGACCTATTTTACCACTTTCATTGACACCTCATCATCCTGCCTCCGTCAACTCTTCTCTACCTTCAACTTTACTTTGGCCTGCACTGCCTCCACCAACCAACTCGCTCACTGCCCAGGAGATCGCCAATCACTTAAAAAAAAAAAAGAAGAAAAACAGATATCCCCCCACTTAATACTCCATGTCCACAAGTACACTGAACACTTCCTTCATTCAACCCCACCACTATAGACGAGGTTGCTAAACTTTTTTCTAATGCCCACTTTACCACCTGGACCCTGTTCCTCGGCAAATGCTACGGGCACCCTCTGGCTCTGGACCCTGTTCCCCGGCAAACGCTACGGTCACCCTCTGGCTATGGACCCTGTTCCCCGGCAAACGCTACGGTCACCCTCTGGCTCTGGACCCTGTTCCCCGGCAAACGCTACGGTCATCTCTGGCTCTGGACCCTGTTCCCCGGCAAACGCTACGGTCATCTCTGGCTCTGGACCCTGTTCCCTGGCAAACGCTACGGTCACCCTCTGGCTCTATCCAACACCCTCTAACTCACATCTTCAATCTCTCCCTCTCTTCTGGTATCTTCCCCAACTCTCTAAAACATGCACTAGTCACCCCCATACTTCAAAAGCCCTCACTGGACCCCACCAATCCTAAGAACCTACACTCCATCTCCTTGCTCCCCTTTTTCTTCAAACTCCTTAAATGTCTGGTCTACACCTGAGTGACCATCTCACTGAAAATAACCTTCTTGATCCCCTTGAGTCTGGATTTTGCCCTCAACACTCCACAGAAACTGATCTACTAAAACTCAAACCAATCTACGAACAGCTAACCAATGGACATTATTTTGTACTCCTGATCCTGGACCCAGGGACGTGGATAAGGGGGTGCCACCTATCCTCCTGTATGGGGCCCAGGTCAGCAGGGGGGCCCAGGCAGCTGGGTGAATCCAATGTGGGCAGGGAGGGTGATCGGCACGACGGAGGCAATTACTGGAACCAATTCCGTGTGACTGAAAGCTGGCTTCTCCTTTTCCTCCCGCTGGCTTTCAGCTGCTGCAGAGGGAGCAATACAGGGGATTGGTGGCAATAATTTCCCCCCGCCGCACCCATCACCCTCCCTGTGCACCATATGTTTCCCCCCTGCTGCCCAGGCCCCACCCCTTCAATGCTTCCGGCTTCTCTCCTCTCCTTCCCACCGGCAGCTGCAAGCACACAATAGGATCCTTCAGGACAGAAACTGGGGGAAAGGTCCAGTAATTATGTCACATTTACCAGCCCTTCCTTTCTTGAATGAACACAAAGAGTGATCGGTACCAATCACTCACTGTGTTCATTTATAACTGAAGCATAATAAAATGGGTTTTTGTCGAGGGGGCCCTGTCAGGTTAGCTGTATGGGGCCCTTTGGTTTCTAACAGCAGCCCTGCCTGGACCTCTCTATTGCCTTTGACACAGTGGACCACTCTCTCCTCCTAAAAAACTCTACTCCTTTGGTCTACGTGACTGTGCTCTTCAATGGTTCTCATCCTACCTATCCCACCGCACTTACATCTACTTCCTCCACTACTATTCCCCTGTCAGGGTCCCCAAAGGTTCTGTCCTTGGACCTTTCCTATTCTCAATCTATTCCTCCTCCCTGGGTCAGTTGATAGCCTCCAATGTGAAAGGATCTAGATAACCTCCATTTTGTTAATGTACGCCATTTTAAGTATTAAGTTAGCTTTTTGCAGATATATTAGATGTTTAATGAAACTGTTTTAGTTGTTCAAGGATGTATCAACAGAAGCTAACATGACCCTGACAATGTTTTTGTCTGGTTGTTTCTCAGAAAGCTAGCCAAAACAATTTGTACCAAGAAATGTATATGTCATGTTTCATGTAGTTAGCTCATGATGGAAATTTACAAGTTACAGTTTTGAAACTCGCTCCCCCCTCCCTTATTATTTCTGTATTCTATATAATCTTACTAATGTCTAATAAACTTTGAACATCTCTGAACATAAGCTGCCGTTATTTCCATGTTCATGGGGTGTTCCCAGAATTCTGCTGATAAACCAGGAATCTCTCCACAGACCGGGGGTCTCTGGGGGGATAAAGAAAATCAACCTTTCACAATGACTTCATCCTGCCAATCCCTCCACTGGCTTCCATTCATTGTCCTCCACCCTTCTCTGCCAATCCCTTCACTGGCTCCCATTCAGTGTCCTCCATCCCTCTCTGCCAATCCCCCCACTGGCTTCCATTCATTGTCCTCCACCCTTCTCTGCCAATCCCTCTACTGGCTTCCATTCATTGTCCTCCACCCCTCTCTGCCAATCCCTCCTCTGGCCTCCATTCAGTGTCCTCCACCCCTCTCTGCCAATCCCTCCACTGGCCTCCATTCAGTGTCCTCCACCCCTCTCTGCCATTCAGTGTCCTCCACCCCTCTCTGCCAATCCCTCTACTGGCTTCCATTCATTGTCCTCCACCCCTCTCTGCCAATCCCTCCTCTGGCCTCCATTCAGTGTCCTCCACCCCTCTCTGCCAATCCCTCCACTGGCCTCCATTCAGTGTCCTCCACCCCTCTCTGCCATTCAGTGTCCTCCACCCCTCTCTGCCAATCCCCCCACTGGTCTCCATTCAGTGCCCTCCACCCCTCTCTGTCAATCCCCCCACTGGCTTCCATTCATTGTCCTCCACCCCTCTCTGCCAATCCCTCCATTGGTCGCCATTTAGTGTCCTCCACCCCTCTCTGCCAATCCCCCATTGGCCTCCACCCTCTCTGCCAATCCCTCCATTGGTCATTTAGTCCTCCCCCCCTCTCTGCCAATCCCTCCACTGGCTTCCATTCATTGTCCTCCACCCCTCTCTGCCATTCCCTTCATTGGCCTCCATCCCTCTCTGCCAATCCCTCCACTGGCCTCCATTCAGTGTCCTCCACCCCTCTCTGCCAATCCCCCCACTGGCTCCCATTCAGTGTCCTCCACCTCTCTTTGCCTTTCCCTTCATTGGCTGCCATTGACCCAACAAATTAAATTCAACATCCTAACAACCACTTACAAAGGCCTCCACAACTCTGCCCTCAGCTACATCACTACCCTACTCTCAAAATACCAACCAAATCATTCTCTTTGTTCTTCCTGCTCTCTAGCTCCCTGGTCAGCTCCAGGACTTTCTCCTAGCTTCTCCCATCCTATGGAATTCCCTACCCCAATCCTCCACTTCAGAGAAGCCTATCCCTCTCCCACCTAACAACTGTAGGTTTGTTTTCTCTCTGAGCCCGTCCCCCACAGCTAATACCTTTTGTATCACCTGACCCCTCCCTCTTAGATTGTAAGCTCCGAGGATCAGGGCCCTCGGGTTTCTCCTGTATTGTCTGCCCTCATGTTGTACAGCGCCACGCAAACTGTTGGCGATATAAATCCTGAATAATAATAATACTCTGTCATCCGTTCTCAATCAATGGTTGGTCTAATGAACCAATCTCCTTCCGTCTCCACTCTACTCACATGTGAACAATTCTCACATTTATTCAACGATTTTTTATTTTTTTTTTTTAATGTGTTTGTGAAATCTCCCACCACAAAATGTCCTCAGCCAATGACAGGTCAGGATGCCAGTTTTACTCTTCTCCTGCTATCAACGGCCAACCCAGTCCCACACTTCATCCATGTGTTTGGTGACCTCTGACCTCCTTATGAACTGTTTCTTCCATGATGAAGATCAGCCATGGAGTATATCTGAGGTGTATATCAGGGTGTGCTTCTTCCCCACGAGAGATGGGATGTCCAGCAACATTCATCTACAAGACATTTCCCGCACTCAAGGCCCTCCAGGGTGGTGTGGGATCCCCAGGAAGACATGACTTCAGTGAGGAACATTTCCCTCACTCAGGACAGGAGCGTAGCTTCTCCCCCCGTGTGAGATCTCTGATGTGTGAAAAGATACGACTTCGTTGAAAAACATTTCCCGCACTCAGGACAGGAAAACGGCTTCTCCCCCGTATGTAATTTCTGATGTTTGGAAAAATTTGACTTATCTGAAAAACATTTCCCGCACTCAGGACAGGAAAACGGCTTCTCCCCCGTGTGAGATCTCTGATGTCTGGAAAAATTTGACTTATCTGAAAAACATTTCCCGCACACAGGACAGGAAAATGGCTTCTCCTTCGTGTGAGATCTCTGATGTGCGTAAAGATTGGACGTCTTTGAAAACCATTTCCCGCACTCAGGACAGGGATACGGCTTTTCACCAGTGTGAGACCTTTGATGTATGGTAAGCTCTGATTTTTTCACAAAACATTTCCCGCACTCAAAACATAAATACGGCTTTTCCCCCGTGTGAGACCTCTGATGTGTAACAAGTTCTGACGTTCGGACAAAACATTTTCTGCACTCAGAACAGGAATATGGCTTTTCCCCCGTGTGCGATCTCTCATGTCTGGAAAGACTAGACCTGTATGAAAAACATTTCCCGCACTCAGCACAGGAATACGGCTTCTCCCCTGTGTGAGTCCTCTGATGTTCGACAAGTTCTTTTTTTTGTACAAAACTTTTCCCGCACTCAGCACAGGAATGCGGCTTCGCCCCAGTGTGAGACATTTGATGTGCAACAAGTTCTTTTTTTTCGTACAAAACGTTTCCCGCACTCAGCACAGAAATATGGCTTCTCCCCAGTGTGAGACATTTGATGTTCGACAAGTTCTTTTTTTCGTACAAAACTTTTCCCACACTCAGCACAGGAATGCGGCTTCTCCCCCGTGTGAGACATTTGATGTGCGACAAGTTCTTTTTTTCGTACAAAACTTTTCCCGCACTCAGCACAGGAATACGGCTTCTCCCCAGTGTGAGACATTTGATGTTCAACAAGTTCTTTTTTTCGTACAAAACTTTTCCCGCACTCAGCACAGGAATGCGGCTTATCCCCAGTGTGAGACCTTTGATGTGCGACAAGTTCTTTTTTTTGTACAAAACTTTTCCCGCACTCAGCACAGGAATATGGCTTCTCCCCCTTGTGAGATCGCTGATGCCTGCAAAGAAGTGAATTTCTTGAAAAACATTTTCCGCACTCAGGACAAGAAAATTGCTTCTTCCCCATGTGCAAACTCTGATGTACGGAAAGATTGTACTTCCGTGAAAAACATTTCCCGCACTTATGACAGGAGTATGGCTTCTCCCCCGTGTGAGATCTTTTATGCCTATTAAGATGGGAATTACATTGGAAACATTTCCCACACTCAGTACAGGAGAACCTCTTCCCTGCTGGAAGGCTGGCCTGGTCCCGCACAGTCTGAGGTTCCTCAGGATACGAGGAATCCGATGGTCCATCTACACTGGGTGGTACCGGATGGACATTTGAGGGAACCCGGGTTTTCTCCTGGACTATACTGTGTGATGTCCTCATCTTCTACTTTCCGGTCTGGAGACAAAGTGAGACAATCCTCTGAGGTTTTCCTCATCTCCTGGCCATTGACTAAAATACAAAGACAAAGAGGATTACTAAACAGGAGTCCCACCAGAGGTCAGAGAGTGAGGATGGGTGGGACCAAGAGGAAGACTGGACTCATCCTGAAGACCACCATCATTGGGGTATTGGCTCCTCCCCCATTCTGAAAACCACCATCACTGGGGTATTGGCCTCTCCCCCATCCTGAAGACCATCATGGGGTATTGGCTCCTCCCCCATCCTGAAGACCACCATCCTTGGTATTGGCTCCTCCCTCATAACTTTCTGGTTGGAGGATGTGATCACATTATTATCACCCTGTAACAGTCTGTGCTCCAATCACATCATCCAATATATGATGTCCAGCTGGTAGGAAATGGGGGGAACAGAGGAGAAGACATATTATGTGTATATATAGGAGTGGGGGGGGGGGGAGAGCAGAAGTCAGGAGTATGTAATGTACAACATGGAGTATATAGTGCAGGGGTCAGGAGTATGTAATGTACAACATGGAGTATACAGTGCAGGGTCAGGGGTATGTAATGTACAACATGGAGTATATAGTGCAGGGGTCAGGAGTATGTAATGTACAACATGGAGTATACAGTGCAGGGGTCAGGGGTATATGTAATGTACAACATGGAGTATATAGTGCAGGGGTCAGGAGTATGTACTATGCAATATAAATTATATAGTGTAATGGTCAGGACTCATAATATTGGTATTCAACGTAAATGTTTACTTTTGCAGCACAACCTGCAGAGGTCCAACCCCGCTGCCTCCCATCTCCTGATACTGCACTCAATGACTTGAGGCTGCGACTATACAGACATATCCCTCCACCCGGCACAGCCAGCACACAGAGTAAGTGACCCCGGGGGAATTACTCTGGTAGAGATCCTGCTATACCCAGGCATTGGGCAGAAGATCCAAGGTACATGCCCCAGGTGTCTAGTTTGAGCAACCCCAACATTTTGCTTCCAGCTGATCCCCAGAATCTCCATAAATCCAGTCTAGAGACATAAAATTGTGTCTGCAGCACAGAGAAGGACGATTATCCCGAGAGAAATCCAGGAATACAGGACGGGGAACACAGCTCAGGAAAGTGACCAGGGTATTACAGGCTGATATCAACCAGTCCCCGTCCTACTCTGCACCAATCAGTGAGCAGTATGGGTGGAGGAATGGATTTAGTGTTCATGACCCACCTGTGCTGATCTCTGTAGGAGTGTCCTCCTCTATAAATGTCCCCGTTATTCCATCCTCCTCCATAGACTGCTGATCATCCCTCACATACGCCTCTTCTTCTTCTGATTTCACCTCAAATTCTATATCGATTGGATTCTCCACTCTACATCAAGAGAAGGAGAGAAAATATCATCTGTAAGATAGAAGATTTATTATTGTGACATCACATAGAAAATCCGCACATCGTCTCCATGAGTCCATGTTCTAGATTCTCCGTCCCACCAACCTTGTAATAGTGAGGGATGGTGTGACCTTCCTGTGTGGAATCCCGGGAATCCAGAGGATGGGGACATCTCTCTGGTGGGTTCCTGTAGCTGGATGACTCCACCATGGTGTCCTGGTACAGATCTTTGGGAATCTCTGACTCCTCCATCACCCCATCCTCATCATCCTCCTCTTTTATCTCTTCTTTGACCTCAACTGTAGAATCTCTCAGGTTTCCACTCTGAATATATAATAAAAATGACATCAATGGTAACAATGCAGATAATGTACATATCCTAATGAAACTATCAGTGATTGTTCCTCATCTACCTGATGGTGAGGGATGTTGTGACCTTCCTGTGTGGAATCCCGGGAATACAGAGGACAGGGACATCTCTCTGGTGGGTTCCCATGACTGGATCCATCTGTAGGAAACACACACTGACTGAATCCATTGTTTCTATGTGTTTATCAGATGATGGGGGATCTAGGTGGACCCTCTGTACTGCTCTCTCCTTTCCAATAAAGTCTCCTCTTACCCGGTGATGTGAGGGGCGGCTGATTGTCCATCATGACGTCCTTGTAGAGGTCCTTGTGTCCTTCTAAATACTCCCACTCCTCCATGGAGAAATAGACAGTGACACCCTGACACCTTATAGGAACCTGACACACACAATGATACAGTCACCATCCAGACACATCCCTTGTCTGTTACTGGAGAATGTCCCAGAATTCCCGGCACCGCTCACCTCTCCTGTCAGCAGCTCCATCATCTTCTTGGTGACTTCTAGAATCTTCTGCATGTTGTGTCTCTCAGGTTTAGGGAGTCACATGGAGGCACTGTGATGGTCATATGATCACCTGACTTCAGGAGAAGAATTCTCTGTATTGAGGAACCAATAGAAATATCATGTTAGACTCCCAGAATCCTCCTCACCTCTCCGGTCAGGTCTGTTTTATTAATAGAGATAAGAGTGACGTCATGTGACCTCCCAGAATCCTCCTTACCTCTCCGGTCAGCAGATAGATGATCTCCAGGGTGAGGTTTAGTATCCTCTCAGTCATGTGACTCCAGTCCTCCTTCATCCTCATTGGTGCCATCATTTGATCTATACAGGTCTCCTTGTAGACGGAGAACTTTGGGAAATGAAAGTAAGAAAGGTTTGGATGGTATTGGTCACACAATAATAGGTTGTGGATGTGAGTGGGAGGGAAATAGTTGGTGTGTTGAACATTTAAGAATTACGGCCCCCCGTGGGAACACACTTAGTTGGACTGTTTAGTATTTTCTACAATTTTGAGGACTCCGGACCTTGTTGGTCTGACAAATTCTCTGTGGGGTTTATTATGTTTCTGAACTGGTTTGCTGTGCAAGAAGACCACCTTTAAGAATGAGTGCCTTCAAAAATCACCCTTCCTAATTCCACCTGGTATCCTAGAACATATTACTTGGGCAGTGATACGGTGAAGGTGGAGAGGGAGGACCATCACAGATCCAAAGACCCCCTGAGCTTTCTATTCCCTCAGAGCTCTGTAGCCCGAGTACTGCATTAAGGGCCTTAACGTTTCTAAGCACAACTTACCCCTCAGAGGCCCCTGAGCTCCTCTTCAACCCTCAGACCACTCAGTATTTTCCTCCCTCTGACACCAATGATGGAACATATTCTTCATGGCGGGCTGGAAGATGTTTTCTTCCTCCTGACCAGCAATGTAAGGGGCTCTATGCTCCATACTCCTGACCCCGACACTCCATCATTGTGTTGGCTGTATATTGTAATGATTGCCCATTGGCTGCCTGTGTAGTGTAATCATTGCCTTTGTAGGCCATGTACTGTTGGAGTGTGAAGATGCAGTTGAACACAGCAGTTTAACTAAAGCAGGATAACTCAAGCAGCAGAAGATACAAGAAACTCTACTGCACACTGGACAGACTGCAAGCAAACACCCAGGGAAACATCTCCTACAAGTCCGAGTCCCACTCCACCTACCTCTGTAATATGCCACCTCTACTCCTCCTTTTCATTTTACTTTCCTGCGTTCCTAAAATCTCAGTTCTTTACCCCTCTGCTCCACCCCAAAACATGAACATCTCAGCCTTACTACTACCATCTCCCTACTACTGCTCTCATCACCTCCTGCTGATACTTCACTCTCCTGCTGACCCAAACACCAGGACAGGAAGGCATGTGCACTCGTATACATCCTGCTCCCATCTTACTTCCCTCAACCTCTTTCTCCTAACTTCTGGGGATATCTCCCCAAACCTGGTCCTCTACTATCTCACCCCCACACCAGGCACCCTCCTTCTTCTCCTAACCTCTGGGATATCTCCCCAAACCCTGGTCCTCCAGGATCTCACCCCCACACCAGGCACCCTCCTTCTCCTAACCTCTGGCGATATCTCCCCAAACCCTGGTCCTCCACTATCTCACCCCCACACCAGGCACCCTCCTTCTCTCCTAACCTCTGGGGATATCTCTCCAAACCCTGGTCCTCCAGGATCTCACCCCCACACCAGGCATCCTACCTCTTCTCCTAACCTCTGGGGATATCTCCCCAAACCCTGGTCCTCCACTATCTCACCCCCACACCAGGCATCCTCCTTCC